ATGGTAACGAGACCCTTATTTCTTCTGTTCCACTGCTTATTGTGGTCTTCCACTTCTCACGCACACATATGGAGCTTAGTCCTTCATAATCCAATACCAGGAGATAGTTTTAAATCAGGTTCAAGTGTTCCATGGAACACTTCTACGGACATGAAAAATGGGAAAGAAATGCCATCGCACGTGTTGGTGAGTCTTTCAGATTTATATTTTTACAACACTCTTAACTTTTGTTCCAGAGCATATTTTGCAAGTTTCATTTTCTGTTTGTGTGTGTATTGAACGATTTTAAACGCGCTCTTTCATATAATACTACACATTGTTTATTTTGGTGAAGATTTACTAACACAGGACTACGAATTTAAACTTCATAAAAGTTGTTTTAGTTTTAAAAACTGATTTTCCGTTATTCAGATACGCAGATTTCGAAAATAATATTCATTTTTTTCTATAACGTAAGAATTTTTTACAAATCGGGAAGAAAAAAAAACTCGTACTTAGATCAAATTATTATTTCATTTACCATAATGAACATTTTTTTATTGTTATGTTTGTTAATAAAAATACAAACAAACTGAAGAAAAGGGAAGAACATCGATGTCAAACGAATATGCATTCTCATTCATCCTGAATTTTTGCGTGAAATCTACGTCTTTTAGTCTCAAAACTACGTGTTGTGGTCTTTCTTTTATGTATTGCGTTATGACGTTTTGTGAAAAATCTGTCGTGATGCCCCCAGTGGCACAGCGGTATGTCTGCGGACTTATACTGCTAGGAACCGGGTTTCGATACCCGTGGTGAGCAGAGCACAGGTAGCCTTTTGTGTAGCTTTGTGCTTAATAACAAACAACAACAACTATACGTGATGAAGAAAAATGGATATCGTTTTCGGATTCAGCGTACAGGAATTACTGTAGAGCATGTAAAAATTTCAAGACAATATAACCATCGCAGGCCTGTGTAATTTTAACATTATTTTATTTTATTTTTTAATTTCTCACATTATAACACCTTCCACATTTCCCCTACTGAAAATGCTTTTTAAATTTCATGTTGGAATATGTAATCTCATTCTTTTCCATAGCACTTTGCTGTTGTTCTTGATCTTTTTTTTTCCTAACCAAGAACAGCGTTAATAAAAGCTGTATGGTGAATGTGTAACAGATAAATTTGTATCATATACTTCTTTAACAGCAAAACACTCGTTATCATACATATCACATAACTTGCCAAGAAATGCTAATAACAGCAATTAATTTAGCAACATTTTGTGCAGAACATACCTGGGTTTTTATTTTTACACATAGATTGGAATGGAAAATTAACATAGTTTCTCTAATAAAAGGTTATTGCAATATACAAACATTACAATTTACTTCCTGTCGTTGTTACCATAGGGAAATTGTAGACTCTATTGTCGATGTTGACCAGGTGGTTAGGGAGCTCCATTCGCAATCTGCGGGTTACGGGTTCGAATCCCCTTCCCACCAAACATGCTCGCCCTTTCAGCCGTGAGGGCATTATAATGTGACGGTCAATCCCACTATTCGTTGGTAAAAGAGTATCCCAAGAGTTGGCGGTGGGTGGTGATGACTAGCTGCCTTCCCTCTAGTCTTACACTGCTTAATTAGGGACGGCTAGCGTAGATAGCCCTCGTGTAGCTTTGCGCGAGATTCAAAAACAAACAAACTATTGTCGATGCACAAAGAAAAGCTAATATTCTTTAGTAGTACACGTGTACGAATATGATATATATATATGTATAGAACATTTGAGAAAATTAAACAATATATGTCTCAAAATATAATAATACATACCCTAAGAAACAAAGACCTAGAAATGCTAAAATAATTAGTCTCTCGTAAGTAGCATTGAGTGTTTTTATATTTTCGTGATGAATAACAACAATGAATAAATGAAATGCAAGCGGGACATGGCTTAATAGTGAGCGTGCCGGAATGTGGATTCAAAGGTTTGTGGTCCGTTCTCTATAAAACAAATTGCGCTTTGAGGGCGTTGATACATTAGAACAATAATGGTGAAACCCCACTATTCCATTAGAGCAGTCCAAGAGTTGCCCGTGGTTGCTGTTGATTGGGTGTCTTCTCTCTAGCCTACGAATTCAAAATTATAGACGCCTAACACAGATAATCCTTGGGTAACTATGTGTTAATGTCCGAAGCCAAACGAACCAATCTCTCACGGTTTTTAGTTTTCAAAGTTTGATACATTGAAATATAATGTATTCTGCTATTCAACAATATATATCCCAGAAAATGACATTTTCAATAGCTAATTGTAGTGTCATCGCAAGCACGTGTTTAAGTTTCCTTGTGTGTAAGTAGTTGTATGTAGCTCTGGAAAACAATCTCACATAGTCATTAAGCTGACGACAATAGTCTCACTTATTTGTACGACCGGATATGTCGAACAACAAACTGTCCGTTGAAAAAAGCAACGGGAAACCCCACAACTGCTGTTTCTCAGGACATTCACGATGGCTTGAAGAGTCATTGTGTATATCTGTCTATTATGCACACTTCCGCTTTCGTGCGGCATAAATAATTGTAGTACTCATTAAAATCAATGTTCATATTGAGTGTTTATATCTAAACTATCAGACCGTTGAGATGTTATTTTGGCTTCTTTTATAAGTCTCTTGTAAATGTGTTTGTTATTAAAACAAAGCTGCACGATCACGTATCCGTATTGTGAAAACCGCGAGGATAGATCCTCGAATTTAAGCGTTATAAGGTGAACTACCGGGAGCTTACGAATTTGAAAAAGATAAGATTATTTTCTTGTTTCGAAATACAATCCGAAAAAGAAAAGAAAGTTTTATCTTCTGACAGAACGTGAATTACTTTGGGGTTTGTTGTTACGCGACTTCTTAATATTAGCAAAGAAAATTATTATTTTTTTCAAAAACGATCTTATCATTCGAGTTGTTTGTTTGTTTTGAATTTCGCGCAAAGCTACACGAGGGCTATCTGCGCTAGCCGTCCCTAATTTAGCAGTGTAAGACTAGAGGGAAAGCAGCTAGTCATCACCACCCACCGCCAACTCTTGAGCTACTCCTTTACCGACGAATAGTGGGATTGACCGTCACATTATAACACCCCACGGCTGAAAGGGCGAGCATGTTTGGTGGGACGGGGATTAGAACCCGCGTCCCACACTTTTCACGAGTTGTTGCATGTAACATTGTTCCTAAGATTTTTTTAACAATCTTTAAACATTCAAAATGCATTGTTCTAATATTATCTGCTTTAATGCATTATTCACAATTTCTATTATTTCGGCATTATTATCAGAGCATTCCATACTGGTCAGAAAGAGTCAGTAATACTGACTTATAGGAAAGAGCCAAGCAAGATCCTGTCGAAAAAATCCTGAGGTGAAAGTGGAGCTGGATTGACTACCCTACGAAAGCCCACCTCCAACATTAACAGATAATTTCTAACCTGGAATCCATAAAAGAAGACAGGAGAAGAAAAACCAAGGAACACCTGGAGGCGTGACCTAGAGAGCAGACGCAAAGAAGACGGGTTACACCTGGAGAAGATACCCCAGTGTCAGGCGAAATATTTTCAATTGCTTATGCTCCAAAAGGAGTGACGATCTTAAAAAATTAAATATTGTCAGAGTGATAAAAATATAATTTTTCAATCTGTTTTGGACAATAATGGCAAATGAAACAGAATTACGTAATTGCCTTGCATATTAAACCATAAAAAAGTTAAAAAAAATACATTATCATTGGTATTTAGGGTTTATGATAATACAATGAATACTAAGTGACTCAGTTACTACTGTTAGTAAACAATATTCATAAGACTGTGCGTGACCTAGAGATTTTTTGCCGGTCTGTAGATACGAGGGTTCGCGTCCCGTTGCTGCAAAATCTTGCTTTGAATTTTAGAGTCGTGGGTACATTATAACAGAGACGGTCAAATTCCACTATTCGATTAGAGTAACCCAAAAATTTTCGGTGGGTGCTGTTAACTATCTGCCTTTTTTCTTGTCTATAAGTTCAGAATTAGGGCTAGCCCAGATAGCAGCTGAATGGCAGTGTTAGGATATTCAAAACAGAAAGAAATTTATAAAAATACTAATAGTAGTCAATATCATTTATAATAAAACCATATATTAGATAAAATACCAAAAGAAAGTGAAGCAGTTTGTTAAAAATTAATCCGAACGTTGTATTTCGTTTTAGAATGTATTAACATAATGTTGCGTCAGCGAGGTCACGTGACTGGTATCACGCCACTCCTTCTCTCGAACCTTCGTGAATTATCGGGAGACTGCTAGATATGTGTTAGTCTTGTATATATAGGACGTTGACAACGTGACGGGGACGAGAGGTAATGAGTAATTGAATGTTTGAGGACAAAATATTGTTGACCACGTGAGACATAGCGTTGTTATGGCGCGACTGTTGAGGTTGAGTGTGTCGTAGGGTTGTATTCGGAAAGAATAAACCAATTTTATTTAGGAAAGGACTTGTGTCGCTAAGGTTTCTTCGGAACGAATTTACGGAAAATCAATTAACGAACGGAGACGTAACAATAATTATATCGTCACAATTTGGAAGTATTTGTAATTATAAATATAATAGAACCTGATACAGTTATAATTAATGATATGTTCTTCAAAATATTCGCCCCTCAGCGGCACAGCGGTATGTCTACGGACTTATACCACTAGAAACCGAGTTTCGATACCCGTGGTGGGCAGAGCACAGATAGCCCTTTGTGTAGCTTTGTGCCGAACTACAAAACAATCGCTTTATGAATGACATCATTTACCATCTTGATGAATATTGTGATTTGTATATGAATTAAGATAATAGAAGTGACATAATAAATTGTTCTAATTATGCAGATGCAGTTTTTTAAGACTAAGTGTTTAAAGGCCATTAACTATTAATTATACTCAAATATGAATCTTATAAACATATATTTTATTGTATCAAATGAAGTGTGCAGTGGTATAACATGTATTTATCGAAATGGCATAGTCCGAACTGTTAGTGTTATCTTTATAATGATAGTCGAAGTAAATAGTACATATCGTCTAAAATAAAGACTATGAAATTTTTTTCAGTCTTCATTGTTATTCTTGATGTTGCAGTTTAGACCGCACATCTGTGATATATGATGAAGTGGTTCTTTATGGGCAACAACAGCCTGTGGTAGCGATAACTGATGCATCACAAGATTTCGTGTAACTTCTGTTTCCTGTCATCATTACTGTCGAATCGTATAACAAACACTACTTCAAAATAATAATTGTTATTCTTTGTTTGGGGATGTAATGTGATGCATTAGTTTTCTTTCGGGAATGACTATATTGTCTGAGAAAAACAGAGAAAGTTTGAAATTTTAGACGTGTAACATCCGAAACGAAACAGGCAATTTCTTGGAACAACAACTGGTCGTTGGATTCCTAGATATGTCGAATTAGTGACGTGAGGATAACACATTGCCGCTTGGTTGATCTGCGAGAGAGATGAAACTTCCGGTACATTTTTTTGGGATCTGCGCCATTTAGCACGACGATTTTGAAACCAAACCTAATGGACATAAAACAAAAAGCAAAATAAAATAAAAATCAGTGGGGTTAAGCATGTAAATTAAATCAAGTTTCATTGGTTAGTCTTAGATTAGTTGGTTTAACTGATAGAATGTTTCGGTTTTATCATTAGAAAAAAACAACAAACCAACCCATCTATTTGGTGAGATAAGATTATAAAACAGCTTTAATGACTAAATTCCACTAAGAATTATAAAACCTTAAAATCATGTCTAAGGCACCTTCGTAACCAATTCTGGGTATATTTTGGAATCAAACTGATCAGTATTTTAATTCAAGTTATACTCAGTTTCTTGGTACTCGTCTTTCTAGCCTGAACGATTCCTCATGCTCATATAGGTCAAACGGCCAGGTCAGAGACCCTTCGGGTTCAGGTATAGCCGGCAATAATTTTGAACTACTGAAAAAAAAAGAGGTTTATCCAGCTTTGAACTAGTAACGGGATTGACCGAAACATCTATAACGCATCCATAGCTACAAATGTGGGATGTGTTTAAAGGCATCGCAGCACAAACCTTTGATCTTACAATTTGTCTAGTCAAATCCTGTTTTCTCGTTTCAGTAGGAGCTGGTGTAAGATTTTGAAGAGCGTACACGAAACTGGCTTTGTTAATAATAGAAGCTGTCTAAATAGAAAATTGAAACCTTACGAGACAGGCGACAACAAGGTTTTGACGACGACCTTGTAAATTTAGTTGTGAATGTTACTTCGAGAACAGGAAGATACACACTAATACAAAGAAACGTCAGTGGATGTGTAGATCTGGAAAACCTCTTCCTGGAAGGTTGAAATGGATATCGTATACAAATAATGGAATGAGAAAAACTGGAGATGTTTTTTTTTCCTTTTTAATACAAGAGGAAACAGTATCATAATGAATGTCAAATATTTGCAGAGAAGCATAGCAGATGATCAGTACAATCAGGGCTGCATCTCAACCAGTAGTGTCTGTGAACTACATAACTGATGGCACCCTGACTGCTGTCAAGTACAAGCAGATGCTGATCCATCATGTCATTCCCTCAAGAACATGAATAATTGGGCGGGGATTCATCTTCAAGCACAACGTTGATTCCAAACAATGTGGTGAAGGCTGTATCGTGAAACCATATCTTGCTAGCAAAGAACATTTGCAACCATGGTTTAGCTTGTTTAAAGTTCTTATATGGGCATTTTTGAAGTTGTATGAGTTTATGTAAAATTTGAGAAGCTCAAAAGGCAACCAAACAACCTGGTTGAATTGTGGGAAGAAATAAAGGAAGTTTGGGATACTAATAATCTTCAATCATACATCGATAAACTCTGTGGCAGCATGAAAAAATAGTGTATGTAAGGCTCTGTGTAAAGAAATCATTCACTAGATATTGGTGCATTGTACAATTTATTCTCATTTCCTTTGTATTTTGTCCTGACATGGCCTAATGAGGGCGATCAACACGTAATCTACGGGTTGCGGGTTCGAATCCCATCGCCGAACAAACTTACCTTTTCAGCCGTGAAGGTATTATATTGTGAAGGTCAATCCCTCTACTCGATTAGAGTAGCACAAAAGTTAGCGGTGGGCGATATTCATTAGTAACCTTCTAAATTAGAGATAGCTAATACAGATAGCTCTCGACAACAAACAAAACTTCGTATTTTCTATGATAATATTTTTTATCAATAATTAAATTCACAACTTGTTTACCATTACTCGTTGCTTGCATTTCCACAGTTATTTCCATTTCTGTGTATCGATAACCATAAAGAAGTTACTCAACGGAACGCAACTTGACCCTGTGTTAGGACTCTGTTTTTCGGAGCTAGCGAGCTGGGTTCGAATCCGTGCGATATCATAAAGCATTCTCCGCACTTTAAGCTGCGGGTGTACTGTAAAAGTTAACGTTAAATTCTTAGCTATAATGGTGTGTGTGATAGGGAGTTACTTACTTTCTGCCTTCCCTCTGGTTAGTAGTTGAAAATTACCGACGATGGCAGGTAACCTTAGTAGCTTTGCCATAACTACAAGTACACCCAACGGGTGTGGTATAATGCAAAAAAAAGTTCTGGTGTGAATTAAAATTTATTTGAAGTATTTTAATGAAATATACTTTTAGTAACCTGTTTTGTGGCATAAATGTCATTCGGGTATGCATTATAATTGTGTTAGTTTTCTTTATGTACGAAAGTTTACAGTTCCGTTAGTGTGAAAGATAAATTAACTGAAGAAACTAACATCATTTATCGTTATTCTGTATAACTGAAGAATGGCTCCTACGCCATGAAACTAGTTGCTTATAATATAAGAAGTTCATTAAAATATTTCGAATAAAGCTGAATTCATACGAATTACATGGCAGGGGTTGAGTAGACGAGGTGTTCGGAAATTGAGCAATTCCCATTCTTCCCGCTCGCAGTATAAATATGCATTGTGAAGAAAAACTTACGTGGGGCGTTTAGGATCATCGAGGGCGAAAAGGCAGCTGTTGAATACGCCTGACCGAGAGAAGAAGGCAAACCCAAGAATTTAGTTAAAGAGGCAAACCAACAACAACCAAGGCAAACAAACGGGTATCAAAACAATGAAGTGGGAGTCAACACATCTTATACCTCGAAAGTTGACGTGAGGGGAAGACAGGAGTCCCCAAGAAAAAAAAACTTTAACTGGGCGGATGTTTTGTTTCCATTATACAAAGTGCTATAGGCTGAATATCAGCCAGAGGTGTCTGTGATTTACGCAAAATTGATGGCACCTTGACTGCTGACAAGTACAAACAAATTTTGATCCATCATACTATTGTTTCAGGAACATGAATAATTGGGTAGGGATTAATTTTCCAGCAAGACATTGATCCTGATAAATGTAGAGAAAACTGGACCTTGAAAGGTTATCTTCAAATAAACAGGCCAGTGGACACTCATAATCATGGCTTGTCCAGCAAAAATTTCCGATACGAATATTCTTGAGACTGTATGGGCTAATAGAAAAAACTGAAGCTTTCAAACAACTATATTGAATTGTGGGAAGAAATAAAGGGCATTGTAATTCCCTGCTTGAAGCAAAGAGCTAACATACAAAATACTAGTGCATTGTTCAGATTATTTTGTATTTTGTATTTTCTGTGATAATATTCTGCACTATCAATACAATCACATTCATAGAATATGCTGAAAATTTTCTCCCTCAGTATTGAAGAAGTTCATTCCACAAGTTCATCAGTGATTAGTGCAATTAACTAAAACTTCTACAAAGAAACAAGGAAAGGGATGCCAATTTCCTCAATGTTGCGACGGTAACCACCTTTTGAGAAACACTACACACATATATATATACTTTTCTAAACGTCATTTTCTGTTTACTCTGACTTAATTTTAAATACATACCAACCCCATAAGTCTTATAGAAATCTAGTAAATTTCTAAATAAGTTTAAAAGGAAAGGCGCCGTCTTTTAGGATCGGGTTATATCGCCTGACGTTAATACACTTTTACACCATTACTCTACCCCACCCCAAATCCCTAAAACAAATCTCATCGGATATGTACAATAAGGTTTTCTATAACAGATTCAGATAAATCCAAAAGAATTTCAGATACGATCCTAGTATTAATTGTGAGAAGAAACTGCTTAAGGAGTATTTGGAAAAAAATACGTTTTATGTGCTTCGATTTTTTTTTGGAGAACATTCATATGTAATTACCTGGATTCGACTCTCATGAATTTGAAGCTTAGCAGCTAATGCTTCCCGAAAGTAAACGTCAGGGTAATGAGTCACGCGAAACACGTCTTCAAGTTCTGTCAATTGCCACGCTGAAAAACTTGTGCGACCTCTGGCAGAGAGTTCTGTAAAAACAACAAATTCGTCCTTTAACCAATTTACACCTTAGTTACTGACCAATCAAAACGGAAGAACTAGAAAGAAAAAAACATGAGTTTGGGGGACATTAGTCGTAGTAATTAATGCACTTATAGCATTATTTTGTTCCACTTCTGTGCAGGATAATATATTTGATTTATATTCCCAGTTCTGTTAATGTAACATGTCGAGTAGAAATAATGACTTGAATAGGTATCGAAATTACATTGTGTAACGAATTTGTTATAATATATTTATTTGAAAATCAACGTTTGTTTAGATTAAATTTATATTTAGAAACATAGCATATACAGTTAAATATGTATTTCGAAACTCCCGCCTATTATCCAAAGTTGTAGAAGATTCTCGTGAGTAAGAATCAACAATATATGTGTGTACGTAAACACTTAAATTTGTATTGTTACGTAAAACTGAAATTTATAGAAAGCCTCCACACGGCTATAAATATAACCAACGCGAAGCGCCGAAAGAAAGAGAGTATATGTTTGCTATAAACTTCAGAAGCTATAACTAATTATTATAACGCTCATCAACATTACAAATCATTTAATATTAGTGGATTCACATCGGACATTAGTACTTTTATGAAAACATTACCTAACCTGTAATCGGCATGTGATCAGCGAGAACTACAGGGCTAGCTAGCTCCCTACTAAGTGAACTGTACCTATATCAACTCCTAATCAACTCGCTCATCTTGAACCCTCGATATCAAGGAAGTTCCAAACTAGAAAGAAGACTTTATATTCCTTGTAAGTTTGTGAAACTTTTGTTTATAAATCATTGTTTGTAATAAGTATTTGTAATAATTGTTATTGTAAATTGTATTGTTGTGTGTATATTAAAACTAATTTGTGTTAAAATGTAAAACTGTGTATCAATCTTATTGGCAAATATCATAAACTGACTATATATATATCGGCTTTTACTTAACTACTAAATCCAAAGTACAATTTAACTATTAAATTAAAAGTATCATTTAACTCGGTTACAGACCATTTCAAATTCTAATACGTAACAACTGTATTTTGTGGATAAAAAAAAGTACTTTAGCTCTTCAATAATGTGTAGAAGGCATATAAGGGTAAGGGCTGATCAACAAAAAAGGACATTTTTCAAGCATCTTAAGGCAATTTTTTTGGGGGGAGGCGGGGTTAGGGGAGACTATAAGAACTGGGGGTTGCCTCTGGTAGACATAGAGTAAAAATCCATAAGAAATAAACAGATTCTTTTTTACTCCTATTCAGTTGGTCTTATAAACACTTTTATGATCTAAAACTAAACAGTGAATTTTTACGTATTAACACTTAGTTGCAAATCCCAATTATTATTATTTTTAGTGTAAAGTCCTACAATACCTTTTGTTTCATTTATGTTAAAGCTGAAATCCTTTTTTTTTTTTTCTAATAACTCGCAGAAACCTCCTCGTAGTTGTTGACAATTTTTGTGACAGAGAAAAAAGGCGCTCTTGGGACATAAGGGCAGGAAAGCAGTGGCCTGAGCCCGTCACTGTTTACCTGAGCACGTCACTGTTTAGTTTTGAACTACTCTTAGATTGAACAACTTTTAAACACTTATATTTGTTGCCAGTACATGTTAACCAATCAGGTGATGAATTTAATCAGGAAAAGAACGATTCTCTGCATTCTAAAACAACAACAACAACAAACAAAAAAAAACAATCCATTATCCGCATCACGTTAACACACATCTTGTCCATGTTACAATAAAATATCAACCACAGCTGTTATGGTCAGGAAATTTCTATTTCACGTGCAAAGACAATTTTAAGAGCATCTGTTTCTGTTCTCCCTGTGTTTAAGATATAGACTTCTGGTTGCATGCTAGAAAAATTATATTACAGATTTTATAGTTTAATGATTAACTTTTTATAGTTAAGAATAATATGACGTCACTCCTGAAACAGGAAGACTCAAAATTGTAAATTAAAACTTGTGTCTACTTTAAAACATTATTGCTAGGATAACATGTAACACATTAAGGGAAAACTGAATATGTAGGAACTGTTTCATATTTAATTCTGTAAAACAAATAAGACTTTAAGGGTAAGTAAATATGTAGGAATTGTTTCTTGTTGAATTCTGTAAAATAAATAACACATTAAGGGGAAGTAAATATATAGGAATTGTTTTATATTTTTGATGATAATATCCTTTACGTTTTACGGAATTCAATATGAAACAATTCATATATATGTCTTTTCCCGTTAATGTGTTATTTGTTTTGCAGAATTCAATATAAAACAATTCATATATATTTACTTTCCCCTTAATGTGTTATTTGTTTTGCAGAATTCAATATAAAACAATTCCTATATATTTACTTCCCCTTAATGTGTTATTTATTTTATAAAATTTCAAATTTATATCCAAATTGCTTATTTGAAATCCATCCATATATATATTTCACATGAAACATAATGCGCAGTTTTATGCATGGAAACAGTTAAAATCATACCACTGTTCCTTATATACGTCACAGCTTCTAACAAAAGTAAAGAGAATACCTGTTTTTATCTTCCCATCGTATAGCTCCTGTCCTTTTTTCCCCTTCCTCCGGTATTTATTTTCGAATTTGAGGGACATTTTCTCTTTTTTTTCGAACGTTTCTTTTGTAGTTGGCTGTTTATTAGATTCTAAAATACGATCTATGCCAAATGTTAAGGGACATGATTTAATGTCAGGATTTCTATCCAAACTCTTCACCTCTTTGCATTTATTTTTCATGATATCAACCTTTTAACAAGTAGCTGATGAAACACGCCTATTTCTGTACTTTTGTTTTTTTACTTATCTCGTTTTTATATGTTCACGATTTTTCTTCTAGAGGCGGTCGTTTATTAGACTAATATTGTAATAAACTGTTCTACAATGTGATTTGTGGACTTAATTTGATATAGTAAAACTTCTAGATTAACGTGATGTTTGGTCTTGTCGAGATTATGATTCACTTTTGATACAGCACCCTCTCGAGATTTTCTTATGTTCGAGGTCTATCAGCTGCACCTGTTTCACGTTCAAATATACTAAATTAATTATTCTATACTACTTGTTGACAACCGATCCTGTTGAGAGCTTACCGAATCAAGGAGCGGGCCATAGCTGGTGTTAGGGTTAATAAGCGATCGTTATTTGTATGAATCAGGTGTTGAAAACATCTTTCCAAGTTACAAGAATCAATTCCCCTAAAACGTTGTACATAAATTAGCAACTGCTACTAATTATTAGATGTGATGATTTATAGGCTTCTACTCAAACCTGTATGGTGGGAAAATAGCATGTGTTCTTCGCAGTCAATGTTGACCAGCGTTTCGTGAAAGCTTGTTGTCACCTCAGCAGATTTACTGTTATCCATATAGGCCGCGGAAGTACACCACGAGCAGGAGGTTTTGATCATTTTAATAGCATAGTTATCAAATTAAAACATATTACTTATTAAAGAATAAAACAAAAGGACACGGTTTATGACTAAAGCCTCAAAATTATGTATCTTAATAATCGTTGTGTAGTAATCTAAGTTGAAGCGTACACATTAACTTACTACACACACATATATATATATATATGTGTTTTTACAAATGGTTTAAATTATTAAATATCATTAGGTCACATTAATTATAACACAACTTCTACTTTAGTCATTTAACATTAAGATCTGCAGGTGTATCGCATGTTTCTATTTTTTTAAATTAATCACTGAATTACGTTTATTGTTTTCTGTTGTTCAGTGTAGTTTAGTTGAGTTATTAGCTCTCATTATAATACCTGTAAAGAAATTATTGAAAGCCTACGAAAAGCTATAACCACTCCTCATTTGATAACTAAGTAATCTCGTGCTACACCTAAAGTTTTTGTTTGCACCAATAAGTATAGTTATCTGATTGAAACCTTACTGAAATATCCCATCATTATCAATCACCTCTGTCGTTACTGAACGATTAGATACAGGATAGATTAATATAAAAAGTGGTTATAGAAACAATGAACATAACAGCGTTTTACGTGGTAGACACTAAATGGCGCTTGTAGTTAAAACACTTTTTATTGAGGCCAGGTATTAACTGCTTCGGATATTTTCGCAAAGACACATAAGGGCTATTTTCACTAGTCGTTCCTAATTTTGAACCGGTAGACTAGTGTAAATAGCCACCACCGTCAACTATTAAGCTACTCTAATAGAAATAATTGGATTTCGCTATCATTCTTATAATGCACCCTAAGCCCCCCCTCCAAAGTGTGGATCGTGATATTTCGCTAACCGGACGCCAACCAGGGACCCTCGGATTCATAGTCCGACATGCTAACCACTAGGGCTTACCCTTTCTCTTCAGTTTTAATAATATGACTTACAGAAATATATATAAGTAATGAAATAATAAGTAATTAAAAACTTTTTTTTTCTCAAAACACAAAATTCTGTTTACTTGCGAAACTTTATTTTTTGATCAGGTTACTTACATTATAAATAAAAAAAATGCTAGATTTTTAAATGAATAAAGTAAAAATAATAATACTTTGGTACCTGTCAACGCAGTGAAAAAATTATAATAACTTAATACATTTTAGGATACATATCACACGCATTAGCTTCAAAAATAATAATAAATAATTAGCAATTAATGCTCCAGTCTATGAACTCATCACATAAACAATATAACTATTGGAAATAAACGATCATTACAAATAAATGTTTATTTACTATCCAACGCTTCGGCTCCAGACCTTTATCACCATCACTTCTCTAGCAATTCGATTATATAAAGTTGTATTTCAGTCATTTTAAATATATATATACATAACACTATCTATAAATATATCTCCCATATCTATATAAACAAGGACATTTTTATCTTTGAATTTCTTATCTACTGACGCAATATTATACAAACGTATAACATTCTTTAATTTAATATACATATAATTGTATTTTAATTAGATAATGCACTATAGTGCTAAGCATGCTAAATTTCTATTCATGATGTATATTTCCAAATACAAGATTATTTACATCAATTGAACAAAAAACAAAAATTTTTAACAGTATCGCCATCTTTATGAATTTAAAGAATATTCAATATATTATGATTAAAACGTTTTTATAGAGATGTTTTATTTCCTAATTTCAGACACACTACAATCAGAATACTAGAATCAGTAGTTATTGATTCTGTAATCTTGGGAGCGCTGCTTACTGCTTACGGAATTCCTGTCTCCATTTTCTTCACCTTAATCTTCGTCGTTGGTACTTCCAAGTTTTCAGAAGAGATCAAGCATTTCCAGAAACAAATTAAAGGGTCGTCTTAAAAACGCTTTTTTTTTTGGCATCTTTAAGAAATTTAGAAACGTGTCTGCTTTTCTCCCTGGAAAAACTGTCGCCTGATTTTATTAATCTAACTGCACATTTTTAAACATTTAATGATTTTAATAGAGGCTTTGATTACTTTTCAAACATATATTGTTATTGCTGTGGTTGATAGCTAGGGACATAGATGGGCTTTGTTTGGTAACTGTTCATGGAAGTTAAAAAAAAGTTTCACTAGGTTATTATTAGTGAAGCAACTACTGATAGGAAGACATGATGATAGCTTATGAAGCCTAAGTTTGTGATAAGAATCAAATAAACATTACATTTTGACGAAACTTTGTAGAATGGACGGCAATTGCCTGTTATAGAGTGTAAAGGATGACGTTTCGAAAGTCTTCCGCCTTCCGTATTCAGGACAATCTATCAAAGAACAGTACATTTTGTTTATTCAAATTGCTCTTTCTTTGTCTAACTCAACTGGCGAGTTATGGTATTGAACGAAAGGCCTCCTTTGTGAGGGATAAAAGATAAGTGTAAAATACTATTTTTAAATACTATTAACAATTTTAAGAGAAATGTGAAAAAATTGCATACTAATAGCAAGTAAGAGAAGGTGGTCTGAATAATGGTTTAATATTATTAACGAATGTCATTGTTTTAGTCACAGAACGATGGCAACGGCTGTTATCTAGACAATTGTCTTATTTATTTCTATCCAGTCTTGTTGCACATATGCAATTTTTATAAAATAGAACAAAAAAGGGACTTTTTCATATCTTTGTGATTTTGAATTATAATGCTTCACTGGGATTCAGGATTGAACATTGCGTTTGTTGAAAAATTTTCGAACTCTGTCTTAAAGACTCTTATATATGAGAATCCACTTCTTGAAGCCTCTTGTTATTTCAGTATGACTGTTATAATTACTTGTTCCTGCGACCCTTTTGTTTTCTTCGATTTCTCTTTTTGTTTTGTACTGTCATAGCCATAAGAGCCTGAAGCATGTTGGTGGTCAAGCGGACTATTGGAGTTCGTGCTGTTATTGTAAAATTGGGATTTATATTGTTGGGGATTTTTGTTGTAATTTCTAAGAAGAGCCAAATGCGAAAAATTTGATGGTTCATCTTTTTTAAACATTTTGTATAATTGAAGCTGAGTAAAGCGATTAATATTGTTGCGACCATCAGGGAAGGCAGATACTTGGAAGCTGGCTGAGTCATCAGGTTTCAGGTTCATATTGAGAGAATTCTGTTCCTGAAGTTTATTTCTGTAACTAAGAGAGGGGGGAATCTGTTGGTAACTAGGTGGTAGATCTTTCTCCATATCATTTCTGAGCGAAAGTGAGGTATATTGATACTTATTATTGTAACTACGAGAAGGCGGAAGCTGTTGGTAAGTGTTATCTGCTGCCATATTCCTATCAGAATAATGGTGTTTTCGAGGGTCATTATTATATCTATATGAGAGAGAGGAAAGCTGATGCTTATAAAGACCAGGTATGTTATCCATGTTGAATTGTTGAATGTCTTTGTTGTATCCATGAGCAGAAAGCAACTGTAAATAGTTAGTTTGGCCTTCAGCTTCCATATTGCTGAATATACCCGAAGGCTTTTTAAAGTTGTAACCAGTAGCAAGTGAAGGTTCTTTGTAATTTGAAGAAATATCAGGCTTTGTATTCTTCATGAAAGAATTTGGAAGCCGTAAAGGGCTAATAGGATTATTATAGCCAAGAAGAGGAGACGACTTTCGTTGGGAAGGTGACTGGGGATTATCTTTGCTATTTATATCAGGAAGTACCAAATTTCTCGAAGACTGTGGTTTGTCGTTAGCAGGAGTGCTGTCCATAGTTGCCTGTTGTGTTAGTACTTTAATCATTTCATTTATCATTTCATTTGGAGAAACATTGTAGCCATTCTGTGATGACTGTAACGGTGGTGCAAAAACAACTGCAAGAGGAGGAGTCTTATAAGATGCATTACTAGCACTATTCGATGGTAAATCATAATCTACTTTAACAAAAACTTCTGATCCTTTGTGCTTTCTCATATTTTTATCATTTTCAAGAATTTTGTTAGAAGGCATCTTACTTGGAGACAAAGTTACTGAGGGCTGATCTTCAACATCAGGATCTTTATCTTTCAAATCTGGAAGACTTGTATAATCAGTTTTACTCTTATGTTCTCCCTCTATATTCCCATGCATAGTGTTCTTGTCTTTTTCTTCTTCTTTGTGCTCGCCATTAGATTTTGGGTGAGCGTAATCATTTTCTTCTGCAGTGAATTCAGGATTTGACAAGTCCTCAAGTCCGAAGTCATCCAAAGTGAAAGCGAAATTTGACGAAAGATCTTCCAACTTATGTTCTTGTGCTTGATGGCCATATTCAGAAAACAGGTGGAAAACATGCGGGTTTCTGAAAGCGTAT